CATTTATATATTTCTACTTTTTTTTCTAGTCATGTCGGTGTCAGTCCTCCATACTGCAGAACTTGGTCATTCAATGTCTGAATCAGGTGTGTTGGAGCAGGGAAAATCATAAAACCTGCTGGGCTGCGGCCCTCGAGGACCAGGATTGCCCACCCCTGGTCCAGACCTTATTTAACAGTTCTGCAGCAAATAATTTGACAAAATAAATAAAACATCACAGAAAATAGAGAAAACCGAACGGGTTGAAAAATATGATCCAAACAGAAAATAAAGATATCAATGGAGAGACTAAATTAAAATTTTCTGCACTCATAGAGACTCCAGATTTAAAAATAAATCTATTTTATGTCCCCTTCAAAGACATTTTTAAAATCAATAAGATGTTTGTATTTCACTACACAAGCAAGGCTCAGAGTTGGAGATAAACTGTAGAAACATTTTTTACAAGTGTGCTGCATCGACACTAAAACTCTGGAGGTTGGCCTTAATGCATCACCGGACACTTCATGTAGGAGAGGTGAGTTGTATTTGTATTCCTCTCCACTTAGAGGCATTTTGTTCAAACAAAATGCTCAGCTGACACTTTTACTGAACCGCAGCACAGTCAGGTGGTTAAACATTTTCAGATTTTAATACCGAGGAGGAAATGAAGCACAGTTTATTTCTTTCTGAAGCATCTGTCACAAGATAAAATCTGTTAGAGAATGAAAACCTTTTTAATGAACGAAGGAACAAACACATATTAAACAATAAAAACAATATTCTGTGCAACAGTTTATTCTACAGTTCATCCAGAGCTAAAAGCCATTGTTCTCAACAACACAAAAAAAATGGAGAAAAGATGAGTCCCTGGGTTAAGCTTCTGAAGCGTAAAAACAGAACGAAGACTCAGGCAGGAGGAACACCTGGAGACCTCCAGCACCTGCTGCCAAACAAACGGGCCAAGTAGAACCAGAAAGCACCAGCCAACAGCAGCCACTTAACAAAACAAACCCACGGCGAGGTTAAGTGACACGCTTTAAAGAAAGCTCCTGTGAAGTCTCTAACGGTACATGTCCCCCCCTCGGGTCAGGCAGTGGCGTGGCGTGAAGTCCACAGATCATAGAGCGAAGAGAGAGAGGCTGGTGACGCCCCAACATCCTGCACGCCTGGGCTCAATCTGTGGTCATTTTGCAAATCAAGTCCACTCAGAAACAATCTTTTACATACATATATTTGTTCAATCATACATATTTTTTTTATAGAATTCTGTATAGGCTATATAAAAGGCTCTATCTGCTGTTCACCTAAAGCAAACCATCGATACAGGTTTAGGTTTCTCAAAGTGTCTGATGTGTCTGTGAGACCGTTTAGGTCGGACACAAGTTCTCCTTCTCTTTCTTTCAGAAAGAAAAAAAGAGAATGTTAACTTAGTGGAAAAAAAAAAACACGGGCAGGCAAATTCATAGTCTGCTCTCAGCTGGGACGATGGCCTTCATGCGAAGGTGCCGACAGAAAACAGTCTTTAAATCCAGCCCGTGGTCTCAGAACCCCCTCAGCTGTAGGCGTCCTGGCCCCGCCCCCCAACGCACGAGGTGGAGGTCAATCTTCCAGCAGGTCTCTGTCCAGATCCACGAAGGGCTCGTCAATGTAACTCACTATGGCACAGCGAGAAGTCCTGTCTGAGCCCAGCAGTACCGACACCGTCTCCTTCCAGTAGCTGAACGGGATGCAGGAGCTCTGAGGAGAGAGGCCACAGGAGAAAATACAAGGCTTTATGACAAATATTATTTAAATGCTTTAAACCAGTGTTTCCCAAAATTGGGGTCGGGACCCAAAGTGGGGTCCTGAAACATCAAGGTGGGGTCCTGAAAAGATTTTCTGAATTAATTACATTTTTGCCTTAGTTGTTACAAAGGAGTGAGGTTAGTATATTTAAAATGGATAAATGTAGTATAAAAATATTGTTACTATTACTATTGTTTAGTTGACCTGATACAAATGTTTATCATCCAAAAATAGTTGGGGGCTCAGGTCTCTGCTGCTGTTATTTTGTGGGTCAAAAGCTGAAAAGTTTGTGAACCACTGCACTTTGGTTCTCAAAGTTGGGCTTGGGACCCAATTATGGGTCATGAAGCACCTTTGATAATCTCCAGAAATCAATTTAAAGGGTAATAAAATAACTGCTGATGTAATATTTTCCCTATAACTATTACAAAAACACACAAAAAAGTATAAATAAGTATTAATAATTGTGTACAAGCTGTTTAGATTGTCAGAAAGCCTGTGTTTTTAGGGTTATTAATAAAGTTCATGTACTCAGACCAGTAATATTTGGGGTCACAAGTTTTTGCCAGGAATATTTTGTGGGTCAGAAGATAAAAAGTTTGGGAACCACTGCTTTAAACTACACTGCTCTATTTTACAAACGCAGAAAAAATGTGTTTCTCATGTTCTACCACCAGGGGGCAGCAAGAACTCAATCAATTCAATTCAAGTCTTACATTCAGCCTGATGTTCTGCAGCTACAAACAAGTTACAGGTAAAGTGCAGAGGGTTCAGTTAAACTTTAGGATAACAGGTGATTCATAGTGAAAAAAAATCACCACAATGAAATTAAAAACAAAAAATGCTGAAAGCGGCAATGACATGGTCTGTATCATAGCTAATGGGTTAGCAAGCCTTTCATTTAACAAATTCAGGTCATGGCTGTGATTAAGACAGGTATTTGGGTCAGATCTGATGATGCAAGTTAGACAAACTTCCTGTTTGGTGGCAAAGTCTGTGAGAACACAGAACTGACACGTACAYTCACAGATAAAGTGTCAGATATGACTACATGAGAATACGAGTTGTTTTAGCACATTCTGCTTGTACAGAGAGCCTAACCTGACCGTACAAAAATACATGAAATAAATCAGTTCAAGAAGTCTGGCTGAGGCTGAAACTGAACAAGAGAATCAAAGCCTGAATGATGAACTCGTCAGTGACACCTGCTGGTCAGCTGCAGCTGCAGCAGCCACCAACATCCAAATGATTCACACTTTAATCCAGCTCCATAGTAAAAACAAGAGTTTATAGCAGCTGTGTCTAAAGTCAGACTTGTTGTGCACACATGAAACATTTGAAACAGCAGATTTATAATGAAATGTTTAAACATGTCGTTTTATTATTAWTAATAATTACTTTAAAGATGATTTTGATTGAGATGACAAGTGTTTTGAAGCTATGACATTAGTGCTACCACCATGTAGGTCAAGGCTATTCAACTGGCAGTCCACGGGCCACATCTGGCCCAACGGTGACTTCTGTCCGGCCTGGCAACGAGGCCCCTAATTAAAGACAATTAGTGGGCTAATTAATTAGTAACTGAGGTAAAAGATCACACTTGTTCTGTTACATACTGAAGTGATTCATCTAACAAAAATGAGCAACACCCCCCACAAACCCCAGCCAGCACCCGAGCTGCTGGCTTTGAGTAACTGTGGCCCTCTGAGCARTTTARTTAAACAGCCCTGATGCAGATGGTAATGATCAGGAACATGTCTGGATTTACAYCATTTATCTTTTCCTGATTTTCATCATTAGAACATGAAGCAAATGTAAAATATTCAAAGTCTTTAAACTCAACAATGCAGTACTTTCATAGTTTTTATTCTGAAGGACTTCCTTGTGAAAAGGTGATTATGTATATGAAGAAACAATTTTATTTTATAACATTCCTTATCTGTAATTATTTCATTTACTCAAGAGTCGCTGGGACAAGTTCAGCACTACAGTGTTTGATTTTTCAAAAATCAAGATTTAAAGCCTTTACTGTCATACGTACAGAGGTAAAAAGTGTTTCCTGTACATTAAATTATTACTCTGCTGCATCAAACAATGTATTATTAATAAGTGCTCATAAGATCAGGATTGTTTTCTTTTCTCAGATTTCCATCAGTGAAGGTGTCATGATGCTGTGAAGAAGGGAGGTGGTGCTGAACATTTAACGTCTCTATAAAATAACTGAAGCCATAGAAAAGCTGTCTCAATGTGAGTGAAGCCTAAACATCATCAGTCATATGATCTCTGGAAAGCTTGGGTTTTACTTCAAYACAACATGAGACAGAGGGTCGGTGATTGTGTCAAATATCATCTTCCTAACAGAGTATAAATGGGCTAAAGATGCAGCGAGTCATAAATTATCATAATTGCTCACCCTGCACCCCTACAGCTCATATAAGTATATAAAGAACAATAATGATAGCTGATATTGTGTTTTGTTCCACTCAACAATCAGTGTTTTGTTGTGTCAAGAGTAGGGTTGGGCATAATCGTGTCGTGTGCAATTAATCGTCAGAAAAACATTGATCGAATAGTTTTTGGCACTTGATTAATACGGTTAATGCCACCAGGCAGACTGACTGGGGATTACTCCTGTCAGTCTGCTCAGTGCTCCTCTCTGCTTCAAATATGATGAACATAAAAAATAAAGTTTTGTAATTTATTTATCTACGTATAAACACAATTTAAAATACGATGTATAGCCTGAAATCTGTAATTTTCACACAGTTTGGAACAATTTTTTACAAAGATCAAATCTTTTTCACTAAACTGGTCATGTGACTACGACATAAGGGTGTCCAGGGACTTCAGGGCATTAACCGTCAAATTAATCGTTATCGGCCAAATACCACAATTAATCGTGATTAWTTTTTTTGCCAATATTGCCCAACCCTAGTGAAGAGTCGCAGAGGAAAAGTTTTTTTTGTTAACGGTGGTGATAGAAAAAGACATGAACTTCAACAGGATCAAACAGCTGCTCTTCTAGCTCTTTGAACAACCAACTTCAGAAAAAAAAATCTTTTAAAACAAAATAACCTGCAGCAGGAGGAGCTGCTCTGAGTCCTGCTCCTCATGAACAAAACACACCCAAGAACGTCTAACCAATCACACACTCCGAGCTGCGAGGTCCACATCACAGAGAGCGATGAACACGACAGCTGCCAGCGGGGGATAGCAGCGGGAGAGCAGAGGGAAGTTACGCAATTCTTTGTCACAAGATGTATCGAAATATATAACAAGCTTTATTTGGTACCAGTCTGCTTCAGATAAATAAAATAAAACACCTCCATCTCTAAATAAGGATGATCTCTGGTCWTTCTTGTTGCTGATTAATGTTTGATAGAGACTCACGTTCTCCAGACAGGTACTGTCTTTGTCCTTGTTGAGGTAGTGGCGCTGCCAGAAGCGCAGCAGGTTGTGAAAGTTGTTGAGCAGGCAGCCTGGGTACTTCTCAGTGTACTCCTTCTCCCGCAGGGCGTTTAGATAGAAGGGCAGCTTAGCCTTTCTCCTGGCCAGCATCAGGATCACCAAACTGGTGTTTAAACAGCTGACGTTCTCCTGAAAGGGGACATTTAAAGGAATTCATTCRACAGTTTGAAGTAGAGGGTTCTGTGGAAAAGTTATGGACAATAAATATCTTACTTGTGGTACATAACRTTTTGAACGACCTCAGTTTGGAAAAAGGAAGTTTAATTCTGAGCGAGCTGATAAGCTAACAGAACTACAGCAGTAATTTTAATGTGTCATGTGACATTTACAGCAGAGTTAAACTTTCATTTTCACATGAACTGCTCTGAACTTTAGGGAAGTTTGAGTTATTTAAAGATGGCAGCAATCAACTTTAGTTGTCCCCTTTCTTCAAACTGAAGTCATTCAAAAAGCAATCTGCAACAGGTAAGACAATTATCGTTCATACACTTTAAAGCAGTGTTTCCCAAAGTTGGGGTCGGGACCCAAAGCGGGGTCCCGAAAAATCAAGGTGGGGTCCTGAAAAGATTTTCTGAATTAATTAATTTTTGCCTTAGTTGTTACAGAGGAGTGAGGTTAATGTATTTAAAATGGATAAATGTAGTATAAAAATATTGTTACTATTACTATTGTTTAGTTGACCTGATACAAATGTTTATCATCCAAAAATAGTTGGGGGCACAGGTCTCTGCTACTGTTATTTTGTGGGTCAAAAGCTGAAAAGTTTGGGAACCASTGCACTTTGGTTCCCAAAGTTGGGCTTGGGACCCAGTTATGGGTCATGAAGCACCTTTGATAATCTCCAGAAATCAATTTAAAGGGTAATAAAATAATTGCTGATGTAATATTTTCCCTATAATTATTACAAAAACACAAAATAAGTATAAATAAGTATTTATAATTGTGTATAAGCTGTTTAGATTGTCAAGAAGCCTGTGTTTTTAGGATTATTAACGAAGTTCACGTACTCAGACCAGTAATATTTGGGGTCACAAGTTTTTATCATGGATATTTTGTGGGTCAGAAGATAAAAAGTTTGGGAACCACAGCTTTAAAGGATCTGTTTCCATCACCAGAAGCTTACATTTATTTCTTCCTAATTTACTCGACTAAATCACAACTTATAAACTTTAATCTTTAGCGTGGCTCCTCCGTAACCGTGAGTCAAAGTAAATCTAGACAATCGATGAACTCACCTGTGTGAGAGTTTGAACATTGATGATATTGACGAGTCTGAAGAGGAAGGACAGCCTGTTCTCAACTCTCGCCACGTAGGACAACAAGAAGCACTCAGAGAGCACCTCCATCACTGGGTGAAAAAAAAAAGATTCACACAAATTACAGTGAATCAGCTTTCTGCAATTATACAAAAGTCCCAAATTTAAAAACATTACAACTTTGAAATCCAACAAACTAAAACTTTAGACAATAATTGATCTGAGTGACGTTTTCCAGATTAAAAAGCTCACATCAATTCAGCCTCACTTACCTTTGACGTCTTCAGTTTGACTCTCAAACCGGTCCAAAGAAAGGACGATGCAGCGCACTAACATGTTGGAGTCCACTAGTGAGCTGTTAATCTGCGTCAGGAAAGACTGAAACTAAAACAGAAGATGAACTTTACTGTTAATGACTATTTAAAAATTATTATTAGTTTAATATTAACCTCTATTTAACTACTGAGATCACAGGTTTCTTTTACAAGAGAGGCCTGGGCCTGAAGGCAGACTAATTCACACAAGGATGAGGGGAACATGTTTGAACCGGGGATCGAATGTAGGACCTTCTTGCTGAGAGACATTAGTGTTAACCACTGATCCACCATGCTGCCGCATTGCTGTAAGGTTTTACCATCTAAACCATTTGTTACAATAATTTATATAGATAATAATGATAATGAAATACAGGATGTTTCTACAACAACACTGATGAGTAAAGATGCATCATATCATGTTGATTACATTTATAACACAGTGATGCTGTTTTTGTTGTGTAAAAACCTTTAGATTAAAGTGTGTTTTTCACTGATACAGACAACATTAAAGCCCTCAGATAAAATCATTTCATTTTTCRTGTCAAGTATAGTTTTAAACATTACAATGAAACAAACTGCACAGCAGGTACTGTTAGGTAAAAGGACATTTCTGAGCTCTGTTTATTTTTTTATCTATAGGTAATCTTGTAAAAATGCTTTTAAT